CAATCCTATTAACATTTCCAGAACACACCATGAAATAAACAACAGAATGCACCTAATTTTCATGAGCTTCAGTTCTGATCATTTCTGTTGACCTGCCTTTGAGTTCACTGGCGTTTCTGCTCTGTCTGTCCCACTCAGTTGCAGGTTCCTATGTAGTAGGGACTACGTCAAGTTCACTGTGCTTATTGCCAAGTATAGGTTTCGGCAGAGAGGAGTTATTCAGTACCTGTTTGTGGTTTGTCTAGCTTTCCAACAGGCATCAAGGAACAGGGACCTTCAGCTCAGTGAGGTTGTATTCAAATTTTCTGAAAATGGATGTGGGAGAAACAAACAATATAAGTATTTCCTGCCCTTTATCTCAATCAGATTGAGTAGGATGCTGAAGCCACCCACTTTTTCAGAATGTTCAAAAGGTGGTATATGCCTATTGACAATTACTGACCTAAAATAAATATTCTTAAAAGCAAACTAGGGCTGATATGTGGCTTCTATATTTATTTCATGGTGACAACAACGAGGATAATAGTAATAACAGCTAACATTTGTTGGGTGCTTATTATGAACTACACTGACTTTCTAATGCTTGGATGCATTAGCTCATTTGTTCTTCATAATAACCCTACTTTTATCTTCCATTTTACAAATGAAGAAACAGAAGCATCAAGAGGTTAATTAACTTGCAAAGTTTACTCTGCTAGTAAGTGGCAGAATCTTGATTAAAGCTTGGCAACCTGATTCTGTAGCCTAGGCTCTTGGCCACAGCACTCTGCTTTTATTAGACTGGCAAAATGGGTTTTAGGAGTTGATAAGGCTGTAGCAAAGCCTGTTAAAAGGTATCTTAGAACAGGGGACATATAAGCTGATGTAAAAAGCTAAGAAGATCTAGGATGCATGGGGGCAAACTACTGCCCATACTTGTTTTTGTAAATCCTTTCTTCACATACAAAATCCTGGAGGCTTTCCTGTGAGATCAAGTGATTTACACAGCTTGGAGTTTACAGGGGAGAGCAGACATGGAAGATTCCTCTATGGATGGCTTGCTAAGAATCTAGACTTTATTCTAAAGGCACTGGGCAGCCATGCACATGTTTTAACCAAGAAAGGGATATAATCAGACTAACTCTAACATATAAAGAAACAAGAACATTCTGTGGGATGACCACTGTTTAAATGCCTGTTTAACATGAGTTGCTTCATATTCTGAATTCTTAAAGTCCCTTGGGTGATTAGTAACTCCTATTGCTTGATAAATCTGATCAGGCAAGTCTAAACTGGAAGCCTGTATTCATGCTGAGTATGTGCCTGAAGAAACATCCACAACCCTTAGAGACAACTCCAGGAGCACCTTATAATGGGGAGCAGTGGGGAGCTGGGAGTCATAAGGCCTGGGTCCCAGACCCTGCTCTGCTCCTGGCTTATGTGTTCTCCAGTCATTCCCTATACTCACTGAGAGGCTGAATGATCTAATGGTTGATTGCATAGGCTCAGCTTGCAAACTGCCTCTATTAATCTCAGAATCTATGTTTGCAACCCTTTCTGCAAAATATAGTCACCTGAGGGGAAGGGGATTCATTTTCATGAAAACTCTTCCTCCACAGATACCAATTTATAGACCCTGCACTGGGTCCTGGGCATTGGTTTTGTTTTCATTTTTTTATTAACTTCCCAATGATAACCAGTGAACTGGTAGATTGAAAGCCACCATCCTAGTAATTAAGAACATGGACTCTGGGATGATAATCCTGGCTGCTCTGCTGACTGAATGGATAATTATGAATAAATAACTTAAAATCTCAATGCTTCAGCTTTTCCAGTTACTGCAGTGTGCAGCAGCATGAGCAGCAAAGTCTCCTGGGACAGGCTGTACAAAGCAATGAGGGAAGTCCTGCACAGCAACCAGCACAAGCACTGGAAGTTTTCAGAGACTGTGGAGCTGCAAACCAGCCTGAAGAACTATGACCCTCAGAAGGACAAACCCTCCTTGGGCACCATCAGGCTTAATTAAGTCTACTCCTTGCCCTAAGTTCTCCATGTGTGATTTAGGGGATCATCAGTACTGTGATGAGGTCAAGGCCGTGGATATTCCCCACATTGGCATGGAGGCACTGAAGACTCAGTAAGAATAAAAAATTAGTCAAGAAGTTGGCCAAGAAGTATGATGCCCTTTTGGCTTCAAGGTCCCTGATCAAGCAGATCCACTCATTCTGGGCCCAGGCCTGAATAAGCCTGGCAAGTTCCCTTCCTTGTTGACCCACAATGAGAACATGGTGGCCAAAGTGGATGAAGTGAAGTCCACAATCAAATTCCAAATGAAGAAGGTGTTGTGTCTGGCAGTGGCCATTAGCCATGTGAAGATGACAGATGATGAGCTTGTGTACAACATCCACTTAGCTGTCAATTTCCTGGTGTCCTTGCTTAAGAAGAACTGACAGAACATCTGGGCTTTATACATGAAAAGCATCGTGGCCAAACCCCAGCGCCTGTACTAAGGCACAGCTTAATAAGCCCTAGTGCTGCCATTAAAACAAAAACAAAAACCTCTCGATGCTTCAGTATTCTCAACAGTAAAAATTGTCTTAATCCTTTGGGTTGTTAGGATTAAACAAGGCAATTCCTCTAAAGCATGTGATTTGGCTCTTGACTTCTCACCACTTTTCGGCTTCTTATTTGCCCCAGGTACTGTCTGTTTGAGTACTCTTCTGTTTGAGTACTCTTCTGTTTGAGTACCCTGTTGAGCTTTGAGTGGCTAATATGGCACTGTCATCCTCCGGGGCTAACATCAGGCCTCATTTTCTTCATTGAGCCCATCTCTCTCCCTTATCCAGGCTAGGTCTGGGGACCCTTTCCATGTTTCCCCAAAGGACCCTGTTTACACTCTACTCTGGCATCTGTCAGCGTGTAATAGCTCATTTTCTAATTGGTCTCCCACACTTAGGCTCTGAGCAACTAGAGATCTAGGAACTATATCCCTCTCAGAAGGTGATCTATAAATATCGGGTAAGTGAAAGAAAACTCAACTCTCACTGCTAACTACGAAGCCAAGTCAGTACTTGTTCTTGGTAGTTGTACATACATTCCGTGGATTCTTCAGCTGTGGGCTATGTAGGCAGGGACTCAGGAGGAGAGGGGGACTCTGCTGGGGGAGAAGACCTCTCTCTAAGGTGGTGCAAGAAGGCTCTACCTTATTCACAGGCCACGATCAGCCCTTTTTTGAGTTCTTTCTCTTCCACAAATGATCTTGAAGTTGCTTGAAAACAGTAAATAATAGTAAATATCTGTTGAAAACAATAAATAACCTTGCCCAAGAAATTAAACTTCTGGTCCCCAAGTCCTTGCAAGCATCAAGTGCTGAGCCAGTGCTTTACACAGATAAGAGCAATATAGTGGCATCACAGGCTTCTTTAATCTTTCATTATATCCATGTAGGAGAGGGATATGCTATCTGAGACTCCTCTGGCTTCAAGAAGAATATGGGGACAGGTGGTTGCTATACTTGTGGTGAACATAGAATAATGTATAAACTTGTGGAATCACTGTGTTGTACACCTGAAACTAATGTAACATTATGTGTCAACTATACTCAAATGAAAAGAAATAATAAAATAAAAATAATTTTAAAAAAGAATATCCATCAGTCATTAAACTTTTCAGAAGGGTGGTCTCAATGTCTAAACAAATGTTATTATGGGGGCAACAGATTATTAAGTAAGAGGCCATCTTTGCCACCCAGATGTCTTACGAGACACATTTATAAGGACGGTTTTATGATGGAGAATAATACCTGATTTTTTTTTTTTATTCTGTTCTGTTAGCCACTGTATAGTACATCATTAGTTTTTGATGTAGTGTTCAACGATTCATTAGTTGCGTATAACACCCAGTACTCATCACAACACGTGCCCTCCTTAATACCCATCACCCGGTTACCCCATCTCCCCACCCCCTCCCTTCTGTAACCCTCAGTTTGTTTCCTGGAGTCCGGAGTCTCTCATAGTTTGTCTCCCTCTCTGATTTCTTCCCATTCAGTTTTCCCTCCCTTCCCCTGTGGTCCTCCTTGCTATTCCTTATGTTCCACAAATAAGTGAAACCATATGATAATTGTCTTTCTCTGCTTGACTTATTTCACTTAGCATAATCCACTCCAGTTCCTTCCAGGTTGATGCAAATGGTAGGTACTCATCCTTTCTGATAGCTGAGTAATATTCCATTGTATATATGGACCACATCTTTATCCATTCATCTGTTGAAGGACTCCTTCCACAGTTTGGCTATTGTGGACATTGCTGCTATGAACATCGGAGTGCATGTGCCCCTTCTTTTCACTACATCTGTATCTTTGGGGTAAATACCTAGTAGTGCAATTGCTGGGTCATAGAGTAGCTCTATTTTTAATGTCTAGAAAACATTGGTATAATTACAACATTTTTCTTTTATTCACATGTAATCCTAATAGCAATCTGATAATGTTGGTTCTATTATGGTCCTAATGCTTCAGATTACAGAAATGAAGCCTAGAGAGGTTAATTAATTAACCATGGTTAAATATATGTGCATATTATGTAGTAAATGTTGTACTCTTATATATGTCCTATACATTATATATTACATATGTTTATTCTGTAGCAGTGCCAACATATAGCAAATGTACAGCAAATACACAACAATGCCAGATTTTGAAACTGAATTTTGTGCCCAGAGTCCACTTTTAACCAGTACATTCCACTGCCTCTCCTTTTTCACACTTCCCAGGATCAGAGTAAGTTCCTTAGGAGCAGAGAGGTCTGTGAGGAGTGCTGAATATCACTGTGCAGACTGTCCCATGCATGAGGGCATCCTGCCAGGATAACCTCATGGTAGCTGGAATCCAGCCCACACCCGGCCTGCCAAGGTGTGTGTGGCAGCATCTGCTGGGGCAAGGGACACCTTTGTCTATTTTACACAAAGATACATTTCCCTTTTTCTCATGGCTTCTTTCTTATTACCTTGTATTGCCTTCTCAGGTCTCTGCCTTTCCCTAGGAAAAGGAGGAGAAAATGATCAAGTTCCAGGTGAGCCGGATTTTTATTTCTGTCACTGAACATTTTATTTCACTTCTTAGGTGGACACCTTTTTTCTCTTCCTTGCCAAGAATAAAGAATTTCAGCAGACGTTAACCATTTATGTGCCATGCTTTTTGTTTCTTTTTAAAACCTTTTTCCTGGGGCACCTAGGTGGCTCAGGCGTTAAGTGTCTGCCTTCGGCTCAGGTCATGATCCCAGGTCCTGGGATCAAGCCCCGCATCGGGCTCCCTGCTCAGCAGGGAGTCTGCTTCTCCCTCTCCCACTCGCCCTGCTTGTGTTCCCACTCTCGTCTCTCTCTCTGTCAAATAAATAAAATCTTAAAAGAAAAATAAAACCTTTTTCTTTCCAGTTTTTGTCTTATTATCATTTTATTTTTACAAATAATAGCATAAAAGAGAATAGAAAATTTTTAAATGGGGGCACCTGGCTGGTTCAGTTGGTGGAGCATGAGACTCTTGATCTCAGGGTTGTGAGTTCGAACCCCACATTGGTGTGAGATTACTTAAAAATAAAATCTTAAAAAAAAAAGTTAAGAAATGAAAAAGCCCACACATCACTCTGCTTATAAATTACTTGTTTTTTTCACAGTCATTTTATGTGTATTATTATATACAATAATAGATATAATTTTGAATTTTTTTCACTTAAAATTATAGCACCTAATTTCGCCAGCTATTATTTTAGTGGATGCTGTCCCCCCTCAGTTTTTACTATTCTGCATTCACAAGTTTTTAAGTTCTTGAGGATTCTCGCAGTTTTATGCAGAAGTATCAGTTTTGCTACATACAATCTTTACTCAAAAGGCAATTTTAAAAAAAATATTTGAGAGAGAGAGCAGGGGGAGGGGCAGAAGGCGAGGGAGAGAATCTGAAGCAGACTCCCCACTGAGCATGGGGCACGACGTGGGGCTTGATCCCATGACCCTGAAATCATAACCTGAGCCGAAACCAAGAGTTGGATGCTCAACTGACTGAGCCACCCAGGTGCCCCACAAAAAGCAATTCTGAACTCAAAATATGGTCTTAATTTCGCTAGGTCATTTTGTCATTTTAAGGTCCATTCCTGGTACAGAAATTATAGATGAAAACTTGATTTTACACTGAAGCTCCATTTTCTTGCACTGAAGCTCTATTATATTTCTACTACAGCTTTTGAAATTTAAAAATAAAGAAATATACATACAAAAAAAAGAGAAAAGTTGATTAAAAAAAAGCAATTCTGAGAGAATTCTAATATAATTTGTCCTTCTGTTGTAGGGACTCAAAACTAAAAAAATTTTTTTCTCCTAAGTGGTGCCTGAGGTACTTTACAAAAAGAATACCTAAGAGACGGTTTTGTCTAACAGGATCATACAGAAAATGAACTCAGAAAAAAATTGTGCAATATTTTCATACAAAAAGAGCTAGATTTTTTCTTCCCAAGATCTGAAGCTTTCTCTGTGTGTGTCTGTGTACATTTGTGTACTTTTGTGTGTTTTGCCCTTCATGTATTTATTTTATTAGAGCAATACAGATACTTAATTTAAAAATTGTAGTCCTACTGTAGGACATGCAGGCACTTTCCACCTGTCACTTTATTCACTGCTCCAAGGGCGATTTAGAATAATCTGCACTGTTAACATGAAGGTAAGAGATTCGTGGAAGTTCAACTCCTGCTCAAGTTCCTACAGCACACGAGTGTTCAGCCAACTCCAAAGCCTTTCCCTTCTGGATAAAGAGTATCAGGAAAGAGATACTGAAGGAAAGAAGGGCAAAACAGAACAAAATCCAAAACCAAACCAGAGTTTTCATTCAGAGACCAAGGCCTGACATTGTGGCATTTGGAGCTCCAGCCAGAACAAAGGTCTTCATACAAAACATTTGCATTTCCCTATAGTAAAAAGTTTCAAGCAAGTAGCCAAGTAGAATGAAAAATATTTACAACATATTTGGAGGAAAGGACTTAATGTCCCCAAAATTAATATTTTGAATACAACAAAAACAAAAGACCAGCAAATACACGAAAAGAGAATGGTCTTCATTACTAATCAACTTTGTGAAAATTTTTCAAAATAACTGGTTTTTACTTCCCAAATTTACTTCTAAGATTATCAGAGATTTTTTTTTAAGTATTCATATCTGGTATTGGCCAAGGTATAGAGGTTTACTGATTTATACCTGGAAGAAGAATAAGCTGGAAAAATCTTTTTTGGAGGGGACACCTGTCATTGAATCAAAATGCTGAAAGTTGTCATTCAGCATTACCATTTCTACTTTTTGGAATTTAAGGACATAATCCAGGGTCAATGCGAAACGATTTTTGTTGCGACGTTGTTTATGATAGATAATCTAAAGCTAAGTGTGCATTATTTGGATGAGTTAATCACATCCTAAATCATTGACTTACTATACGGCGCTTCATTGGGATGACAGACATGATCATAGTAATAATCATAATAATAGCTAACATTTATTGGGTACTCTGTGCCAGGCACTGCTCCGAAGTGCTTTACCTATAGTCACTCATGTTATTATCAGTACCCTATGGTATATAGGTATCAGCATGAGGATGAGAGAATGAAGAACTTCTCCAAGGGCATATAGCTAGCACGAGGCAGAGCATTCCAGTGTGAGTACAGGGAGTCAGGCTCTGGACTGTGCCCACACCACCGCTGCACACTGCAGATGGGGCACAGAGGATGAACTACATACTTCAACAGTAAGAGTGACCAATAGCCTTTATGTTTGGCAAATTAAATAAGTGAAATGTGTGCATATGTAAAAGAGAGAGAATCCATCACACACTATTGGAACTAAAGCTTTTCTGGGGGCAAATGGCGTTCTTGGTAAAATTTAAAATTATAGTAGCCTGCAGTGCAGCAGAGTTCCAGGGACTTACCTATAGGAGCGCTAACAAAAGGCAGCTATTTATTTGTTTGTTTGTTTGTTTGGCAGCAATATAATCTGCAAGGATTTCTTTTCTTGCAGCCCTTCTGGTGGATTGAGTGAGCGGTGTAGAAGGCAGCTACTTTGACTCCGTCCCCCAGATTCTAGAACAGCTTCCCATCCCTGATGCTTTCTCAGTGCTGCCCCTTTTCCATAAACATAGTCTGCCTGTGTCTGGTGTTGTAGGAGCCGGTGATGTTTAAGGATGTGGCGGTGGTCTTCAGTGAGGAGGAGCTGGGGCTGCTGGATTCTACCCAGAGGAAGCTGTACCGAGACGTGATGCTGGAAAACTTCAGGAACCTGGTCTCTGTGGGTGAGGACAGGCGCTTGGTGACTGAAAGTCAGCCCCCTGGGGTGTCTTGGGTGTTTGAAGCTCTGAGACTCTTGAAATCATCCCCTGAGCTTGGGCAAATAAGAGTCCTAATAATCCCCGTACAACACCGACAAGCTGTTTCTGTCCTTCGAGCTATGTAACTGGGCAAATTGTGGTCCAGCCCTGTTGTTTGTCATGAAGTCAGTTTAGTGAGTTGCCCTAGTTTTTGTTTTTGTTTTTCCAGGGTGCCAGTAACAATAACTATTTATTAACGTGATTTTTCAGAGGTATTTTGGTTTTTCCCTTAACAGTGTTTTTGTAAATAACTTCAAACTTACAGAACATTTGCAAAAGTAAAGAATAAGAACACCCCTATAGCTTTCACCTAGATTCACTTATAATAATATTTTTACCCATTTATTTTATTTATGACCATGTTTTTTCTCTCTCCATATATATTTGTGTGTATATATGAAAACATATGTATGTATATTCATAATATTTTTTCTCAACCATTTGAGGGTAATTTATATACACCACTGCCCTTTATCTCTAAATACGTCAGTGTATATGCAGAGTTTGGAAGTCCCCAAGACTGCTCTTAGTCTGACACCAATTGTAAGCTCAGGGGTCCCCATGATAACCCTCAGTCTCAATAATTCACTAGAAGGCCCTGAAAGCTGTTATACTCATGGTTACACTTTATGACATGAAAAGGGTACAAGTTAAAATCAGACAAGGGAAGAGGCACCTGGGGTAGAATCCAGGGGATTTCCAGCACCAACTTGTAATTGTCTCTCCCAGAGGAGTCACAGATAGTACTAACTCTTACCAGCAAAGACAAGTCATAGTATACATGGAGTATTACCAACCAGGGAGGCTCACATGAGCCTTGGTGTCCAGATTTTTTACTGTGGTTTGGCCATATAGATGTGGTTGGACACCTGTGTGTCTGACCTTAGTTTCTAGCCCCTCTGGAAATCAAGCTGACAGCAGGTAGCCCAAAGGCCCCACCATAAATCACATTGGTAAGCAATCTGATGTTGTCCAAAGCCTCCGCGTGAGAAAGACACTCTTACCAGACAGGAAATCCCAAGGACTTAGAGATCACTTCCCAAGAGCTGAGGACAAAGACCAGACCTCTCTTTGAGCAAGCTTAATTCTTCACTGAACAATGTATTTTGTAGAAATAAGAATATTCTCTTACATATTCCCAGTGCAAATATAATACTTTTATCCAAGTATTTTACTGATTTTTTAAAAATATTTTATTTTATTTATTCATGAGAGACAGAGAGAGAGAGAGAAGCAGAGGGAGAAGCAGGCTCCCAAGGAGTAGGGAGCCCGATGTGGGACTCGATCCCAGGACCTTGGGATCATGACCTGAGCTGAAGGCAGACGCTTAACCATCTGAGCCACCCAGGCACCCAGTATTTTACTGATTTTATCAGTAGATCCAGTTATATTCCTAAAAGCGTATTTTTCTTTCTCCAGGGTAAGGTCTAGTCTTGAGTTTAGTCTGACTGTCATGTCTCTTTAGCCTCCTTTAATTTGGAGCATTTCCACAGCAATTTCTTTGTCTTTTATAACAGTAGACATTTTGGAAGAATACTGTTATTTCCCCCCTACCCCCCCCATTTTTCAGATAACATTCCTAATACTTCCTTATAATTAGGTTCAGATGATCCATTCTGGCTGGAACTCGACATTGGTAGTCCTTCTGAGACTATCACATGTAGAGGCACACTATTTGTCCCTCATTGATCACTCAGTCAAGATGTCCAATTTCTCCACTATAAAATTATTGCTTCATTTCTCTTGCAATCATAAGGCAACACTTTTTAAGACCACACAAATATTTCCCTATAGATTTAGCATCCAGTGATGACCCTTGCCTTATCTGGTCTTTACCATGATTGTTACAAAATGATTTTCTACTTTAGTACTTCTTTAGTACCTCCTGATTGCATTAGCAATCCGCTCCTGGCATTCTACAGTAAGCAAGAGTCCCACATGCCTTAATCATTTATTTACTTATTTGTAGGGACTTGTGAATTGTTTTTTTAAAAAATGGCTTCTAATATTACCGTAATTATTTTGATGCTAAAATTGTTCCAAATTTGGCTTTTTGTAATATGCCTCCACCATTTTTTATTTTATTTTATTTTATTATATAATATTATTATATTATGTTAGTCACCGTCATTAGTTTTTGAGGTAGTGTTCCAGCAATGTCCACAATAACCAAACTGTGGAGAAAGCCGAGATGCCCTTCAACAGACGAATGGATAAAGATGTGGTCCATATATACAATGGAATATTACTCATCCACCATTTTTTTTGAGCATTTCCTTACTTTATGGCATAGATGCTGTTCTGTGTTCATCTTTTACTTTATACCCTGGCTCTGGAATCATCCTTTTCTTGGAGAATGGTATTTAACAACAAGGTCTGAATGCTAGGTACTGCCACTGCTACTGTGGTGGCTTTGTTTCTTGGTCTCAGGGGTTAGAACTAGTAGGTAGGAGTGTGTGTGTGCATGTGCATATATTCATATACATATATGCACACGTGAGTAGATGTTCAATTTCATTAAACATAAAGGAGATGTTAAGTAAAATCATCCTGAAATACCATTTCTCACGCATGAGATGAGCAAAAATTCAAACACTCAGCACTGTACTTTTTTGGGAAAAGATGTGGGAAATAAAGCACTCTCATGCACTGAAAGTAGGAAAGCAAAATGAAACAGTCCTGAAGGAGGAGAATTTGACAATTATCCAGCAATATTCCCAGCAGTTTGCTTCTAGGAATTTTCCCTAAAGATAGCAAAGTGCGAAAGAGCATTAATAGTATACTACAATTCATGTAAGAAAGAAGGGAAATAAGGAAACCTACATATATCTGCTTGTCTTTATAAGAAGAAACCTAAGAAGGATTAATTAAAGATTCATGAAATTAGTTTCATATAGTGGGTGGGAGGTAAGAGTGTGGAAGTTATGTGTCACACTCCTTTGAATGTGCCTTTCTGCCTGGTTTGGACTTTTGAAAATCCATTATTTCAACACATTATACAAATTAAATAAGAAGAAAAAAGTAAGAGGGGTAACTGGGTGATGGGCATTAAGGAGAGCACTTGTTGTAATGAGCACTGGGTGTTATATGCAACTGATGAATCACTAAATTCTATCCCTGAAACTAATACTGCACCATATGTTAACTAACTAGAATTTTATTTATTTATTTTTAAAAATTGTATTTATTTATTTGACAGACAGAGACACAGCGAGAGAGGGAACACAAGCAGGGGGAGCGGGAGAGGGAGAAGCAGGCTTCCCGCGGGGCAGGGAGCCCAATGCAGGGGCTCGGTCCCAGGATCCTGGGATCACGACCTGAGCCGAAGGCAGACGCTTAACGACTGAGCCACCCAGGCGCCCTAACTAGAATTTAAATAAAATCTTGAAAGAAAAAAGTAAGAATGCAAAGGGATGGTAATCTGAAACTAAAAGAAAAATGAAATTAATTATATTTGAAACATATCATAACCACACTGAAGAGAGAAAAGAAAGAACTTACGGACATAGCTAAGGAACACAGCACATAACTGTATCCCCTTAGTGTTAGGTACCGTGGGAGGAGGATGAGAAAACAAACTGCAATTCTGAACAATTTTTAGTGGATTTGCTTATTGTAATGAGATGGAAGAAGCCATTCTGAAGCTATTTTAGATGTATTACAGGTGCCACAGCAATTGACTGGAGAAAGTATAGTCTTTTCAACAGAGGGTGATGAAACATTTAGACTTCTGTATGCATCTATACCCATGACTCGCATCTCACTAAGAAATTGATTCAAGGTGGATAATAGACCTAATGGAAAATGTAAAAGTATGAAACTTCTAGAAAGAAACACAGGAGAAAATCTTCTTGACCTTGGGTTAGGCAAACAGTTCTTAGACTCCAAAAGCATGATTCAGAAAAGAAAAAAAAAAAAGATCAGTTGGACTTCATCAAAACTTAAAACTTATGCTCTCCTTGCCTTTCTACAGGGAATCAGCCCTCCAAGCCAGAGCTTATATTCCGGCTGGAGAGAGAAGAAAAGCTTTTGATGATGGAGACAGAAACCCAGAGAGATGGATATTTAGGTAAGAACCGTCCTGCAGTAACACAGCAGCTAGGGAGCCTCTCCTAAGGCAAGTCAGAACATGTCAGGCCCTACGATGTCTATCCCCTCAACCACCTCTGGCTTTCCATATTTATCTGTAATTGTTTATTTCCGCCCATTCATTCTGTTCTGCACTGCCCCATTGCTGCCCTTCAGACCCGACATAATTATGCTTCTGCTTTAGGTTCCTTGACTTGCTTTTCTCTTTGCCTTGAATGAATGAGTTGGTTAATAGATGCGTGGTCCTCACTGTCTTCAGTCCTCCATGGGACAGCTGGTAGGCGTTGAATAAGTGCACAATCGAAGGATACTCTAGAATGCTGTTTGTTTTCTGATGAAGGCCTGTACTAATTTTAATTGTGTAGGTGTCCTTGAGTATAGATAGGTAGCCATTATCCTTAAAAGATTAAGAATGGCCAGTCAGCTAAAGTCCATATCAAAGTGATCATTGCCAACATCATAACTGGTCCTCCTCATGGAAGTTGAAAAGCAATTTCAACTGAGACACTCTTGCATTAACTTCCTTATCCAGATGCCTGGCTCTTCTTCCCATTCTGCTCTCTTTTCATCCTCTTCATCCTTCATCCTGACAGTCTCCTGGCCTAGCTACAGTTTTCTTAAAATCCTTATTCAACTTCTTTAAACTTGAAAAAAAAAACCAAAAAACCAACACCACCAAAACCATCAGTTCACCTATTTCTCCCACCCCCAACCCCCTCCTCTCGAAACCACCAATCTGTTCTCTGTGTCTGCAAGCTTGGTATCTCGTTGTTGTATTTTAATCTACATATGAGAGAGAGCATACGGTGTTCGTCTTTCTCCGTGTGACTTGCTTCACTCAGCGTAACGCCCTCGAGGCCCATCCAGGTTGTTGCAAATGGCAAGATTACATTCTTGTGGCCAAGTACTATTACTATATACACATATATATAATATGTATATATAAGTATGTATATATCTATATACTGTAGGTTTCCATTCCCATCAACAGTGCATGAGGGTTCCCTTCACTCTGCAGCCTGGCCAACACTTTCTCTCTTTTGTCTTTTTGATACTGGCCATTGTAACAGGTGGGAGGTGATACCTCATTCTGGTTTTGATTTGCATTTCCCTGATTATGGGTGACGCTGAATATCTTTTCTTGTCTGTTGGCCTTCTGTATGTCTTCTTTGAAAGATATCTGTTCCGATCTTCTGCCCATTTTCTATCTGGATCGTTTGGGGGTTTTTCGGCTATTGAGTTGTAGGAGTTATTCCTGTTTTTGTATATTAGCCCTTTATCAGCTATATGATTTACAATTATTTTCTTCCATTCAGTAGGCTGCCTTTTTATTTTGGTGATGGCTTACTTTGCTGTGCAGAAGCTTTTTAGTTTGTTGCTGTCCCACCTTTTATTTTTGCTTTTGCTGCTTTTCCTTTTGGTGTCAGATAAAAAAATAATCACCAAGACTGATGTCAAGGAGCTTACTGTCTGTGTTTTCTTCTAGGAGTTTTATGGTTTTAGTCTTACGTTCAAGTCTTTAATCCATTTTGAGTTAATTTTTGTGTATGGTATAAGAAAATGGTCCAGTTTCATTCTTTTGCATGTGGCTGTCCAGTTTTCCCAAGACCATTTGTTGAGGAGACTTCTTTTCCCCATTGTATATTTTTACTCCTTTGTTGTAAATTAATTGACCATATAAACATGGGTGTATGTCTGGGCTGTATTCTGTTCCATTGATCTGTGTGCCTTTTTTATGCCAGTACCATACTATTTATTATTTATTTATTTATTTAAATTCAATTAGCCAACATGTAGTAAGTCATTAGTTTCAGATGTAGTGTTCAATAATTTATCAGCTGTGTATAACACCCAGTGCTCATCACTATTTTAATTATGTTGTGTTATAATGTTATTTGAAATAAGGGAGTGTGATGCCTCTAGCTTTGTTCTTTCTCAAGATTGCTTTGGCTGTTTGGGGTCTTTTGTCATACAAACTTTAGGGTTGTTTGTTCCATTTCTGCAGAAAATGCCATTGGAATTTTGATAGGGATTGCATTGGATTTGTAGATTGCTTTGGGTAGTATGGACATTTTAACAGTATTAATTCTTCCAATCCATGAGCATGAATATATTTCCATTTATTTGTGTCTTCTTCAATTTCTTTCATTAATTCTTGTTTTCATTAATTTTGTGCCTTGTAATTTTCCCAACATATAGGTCTTTCACTTCCTTGGTTAAATTTATTCCTAGATATTTTATTCTTTGTGATGCAATTGTAAATGGGATTGTTTTCTTAATTTCTCTTTCTGATACTTTGTTATTAGTTTAAAGAAATGCCCAGAGTTTTATATATTGGTATTTTATTCTGCAACTTTACTGAATTCATTTATTCTAACAGTTTGTGTGTGTGTGTGTGTGTGTGTGTGTGTGTAGTCTTTAGGCTTCTGTATATAATAATGTCATCTACAAATAGTGACAGTTTTACTTCTTCCTTTCTAATTTGGATGCCTTTTATTTCTTTTTCTTGCCTAATTTCTCGAAATCTGTATAAAATGGGTGAGAGTGGACATCCTTGCCTTGTTCCTGAGTTTTGTTTCACCATTTCATACTATCTATGGGCTTTTCATATATGGCCTTTATTATGTTGAGGTACATTCCCTTTATACTCACTTTGTTGAGAATTTTTATAATGAATGGATGTTGAATTTTATCAGATGCTTGTTCTGCATCTATCAAGATGATCATCTGATTTTTATCCTTTATTTTGTTAATGTGGTGTATCATACTGACTGATTTGAGAATGTCAAACCATCCTTGCATTCCTGGAATAAATCCCACTTGATTATGGTGTATGATCCTTTTAATGTATTGTTGAATTCAGTTTGATAATATTTTGTTAAGAATATTTGCATCTATGTTCATCAGGAATACTGGCCTGTAATTTTCTTCTTTTTTCTTTTTTTTTTTTTACTTTAAATTCAATTAGCCATCGTTCATTTTTGGTGTAATGTTTTCAATGATTCATTAGTTGCACATAAGACCCAGTGGCCTGTAATTTTCTTTTTGAAGTAGAATATTCAAGTTAGACATTTACGTGAGTCCAAACATTTTAGTAACATTTTTGGAGTCCGCAAGACTCTGACAACTGTGTAGCTAAGGGTGCTCCTGGGTAGTCAAGAGTCAGTAAAAATTTTCAAAGCAAACTATTTCATTTCTATAATGTTTTGCTGCCATCTTAGTTAAGATTCAAGGTCACACGTGATACAATACATTCTTTAGATACAATACATTCTTTAGATAGAACATATTCTTTGTACTTTTTAATATACTAATTTTTAATTTAATTTAATTAACTAGTTTTAATAAACTGATTTTTCTCTTCCATGATACCTTGGGGAAATCCAACCTACTCAGAGATTATAACTTTTTTTTTTTAAATCATGGCTATATAATATTACATTATATGGATATAACATGCATCATTTAGCCATTTTTTAATTGATGGGTATTAGTTTATCCCTCCTTTTTTTACTAATACAGAAAGTACAGCAATAAAACCCCAATCTAAATGTCCTTAGATACTAGTGATTTTATTTCTGTAGAATAAAATACCTGGTGATTCAGAGATTCAAAGAGAAAACCCATCCTGTACAAAGTTTAGCTTTGGAATTATAACCCAAAGAGACATAATTATCCCCTGTTGGCTTTCTTGCAGCCTATAGCAACTGATTTAATTGATTTGGGTAAAGAAACATTTTTAAAATTAGTATTCTTAAAACCACTCTCTTGGCAGGTCCCTCATAGAAGAAATCTCTCCATTTACAACAGGAAAGAGAAAGATGTCAATAAATTACAGTTTCTAAACTATTCATTTCCTCGCAAGATTTTCTAAGTTACAGACCATCCATCTTATCCAAATTGGCGTACACACAGATTCCCTAGATTCCCTTTTTCTCGTCAGGCAAGGAGGATTCAGGGTGAGAAAAACAAGACTTATAAAATGAGTATGTATTCAAAATGTATTCAAAGATGAGTTTGTATTTCCTCGTCTTTACTCCCTCCAGGTTAACCATTAAATAAACAATTGTTAAAGTAGAATCAGACGGGGTGACCATGAGAGACTGTGGACTCCGAGAAGCAAACTGAGGATTTCAGAGGGGACGAGGGTGGGGGGATGGGTTAGCCTGAGTATTAAGGAGAGCATGTGTTGCAATAAGCACTGGGTGTTATATGCAAACAATCATGGAACACTACATAAAAACTAATGAAGTACTGTATGGCGACTAACATAACATAATCAAAAATAAAAATAAAAAAACTTAAAAAAAGGGGCACCTGGATGGCTCAGTCGGTTAAGCGTCTGCCTTTGGCTCAGGTCATGATCCCAGGGTCCTGGGATTGAGCCCTGAATCGAGCTCCCACTTCGGTGGGAAGCCTGCTTCTCCCTCTCCCACTCCCCCTGCTTGTGTTCCCTCTCTCGCTGTCTCTCTCTCTCTCTGTCGAATAAATAAATAAATAAATAAATAAATAAATAAATAAATAAAATCTTTAAAAAAATTTTAAAAAAGGAAATATTAAAAAAATAAAGTAGATTTCAGACAGTTTTCAAGTCTTCATTCTCTTGAGGATCTAGTGCATACCTTTCAACTGGTGACCATTGTAAACAGAAAAAAAGAAGAAATTGTACTCTCAGGGTTCACATATCCTGAGGGAGAGAAAGAATCTATTTCAAGTGGTAATTTATTCCTTATATTTTGAAACTTTAGCCCAGGTAGGCATGAAACTAAGAGGTACAAACCTACCCGTTATTTTTCCATGTTTCCACATTTGAACTTTGCATTTGAGCCTTGCTATTGTTTCATTATGAAGTTTATACCTTCCTCAAATATTTAGACCAGTGGTTTTCATACTTTGCTGATCATGGCCCCCAGTACGTAATGTAACCCAGTATAGACGTATGTATATGTACATATGTGCACATCTGAAATAAGCATTTCA